AAATTGGGGGCTAGCGTCACCGACGGTCCAGAAAAAAATTTTTTTACAAAGCTAAACTGAACTTTTTATAAACTTTGAAAATTATCTTAATTATTCACAAGTTCAAGGGAGTCATTTGCGCATTTACTTTCATCAATAGTTCCCTAGGAAGTGTCCAAAATGTGTCCTATGTCTGCCGTCCCGTTATTCCCCCGAGTTATTTACAGTACTGAAGTCTTACTACAGTAATACGTTATTGATAAGCTGTGCAGTTTTGAGCGCATATATATCCTTAATTTATCTGAAGATACACCTGATACGAACCTCCGCAGCGATTCCGCTGAACAAGCCTGATGATGATCCAGCGAGTGAATCCAACGGACCATTGCCGACACCTTCGCCTGTGTTGAAGTCGGCTCCTTCTCCAGAAAGATGCACTACTAGAGGAACGTTGTCATGTCGTCCTATGTACACTGCCCAATGCTAAAAACACCAGTACAGCGATATATAAGATGTACTCTTGAGATGTAGTCACCTTATAAATGCCATGGGGCGCACCAGCTATATATGCAACTCTTCTAAATTCCAGCAAGTCTCCTAGCTCCACATATTGCTCGATGTCTTGGGCGTTTTGCCATTCGCTAATAAGCTGACCAGCAGCTAACATAATCGCTGAATATTTTCGGTCACCCAGAAGTTAGATATTCTAAACCGAATGACACAGCTAGCGCATTTCAAAAAGTTGCAATCTTGGAATAAAAGGAAGTGCGACATGGTACGAACATTCTGGAAATAACAGATCGAATGCAAAATAGTAATGTTGAAATAGCATGGCTATCAAAATCTCATATTTGACTACCAAAAGATATTCGTCAAACACTCGAGTCCAAGAAAAAAATGTCAAAATTTTGATAGTGTTCATCTGCTTTTCGCAAATGAACTCTATCAAAATTTTCATTACCAAAAACTCAACAACACCGTTCTGTTCTTCTCGAAAAGTAGCGAGAGCGTCTGACAGCATGGGACTTGCATTGCGCCTACCTTCACACTTATACAAACGTTCTCTGAACCAAGCCAGTTGTACCATTCCTGCTTTTCGATTACAGAACCATATATTCAACACAATTTAACTATGATGACGTCTTTCATGATTGCCGGCACTTTTCGCAGAAATCACTTTCGAGATGAGTAGTATTTTACTACTATA